GGTGTAGTACAATGTCGAAATGCACTAGCATGATCGACAAACCATGTGGTGAACAAGCTGGATCGTGGTTCATCTTCCCACGCAAACGCAGTTGTCTCCCAGAGAGCATGTGTATCTTGTACAAACTCACTCATGGTATTCAAAGAAACTTGCCCAGGAACGAATGGTTGTGCCGACGGATTGAAGGTGAATGCATTGCATGTAGCATGTTGCACAGGTGGATTGGAACTGCTGGATGCAGTCACACCTGGGGGCAATTGCATGAGTACAAGGTCCTCATCATCAGCTCTTTCCCTACGATGTGCAATTACCGCAGGACTCTGTTGTGAGGAACTGGCAGCTGCAGCAAGGTGATTGCGAATGATGAGAAATGAGAACCCATGTCGAACAGGGAAGACATGTCCATCACGAAATTCGTGCTCACCCCACCATATCATGCAGTCGACATGCCCAGGGAGGCAAACATGCTGAAGTTCCACTGCAGCAAGCAAATCTGGTCTGGTCAATGCAGCAGGAACAGTGCGAATGCAGCTGGGTATCCCAAGTTCAGTGCTGCGCGGATCCAATATAGCAATGTGAACACTGCGATGGTCAAGAAGAGGATTCTGGACAATGAGCACATGCAGAGCTCCAATTGGTGTCCACAAATTGGATCTCGGCTGAGGAGTGAGAAGATACAGATGTAGAGGGCAGTCTGGATCAACTTTATCATCCCATGCTTCAGCAAGGCGGTCAACCCATAGTCCAGGATCATTCAAAAGACGCACAGGTCGTGGTTCATCGTAGGATGGCCATCTCATGCCATCAGTGTACCATGTGGATACATAAAGGACACGCCCTTCTTCTTCAAGTTCAACTGCAGAATGAAGCCACCAAAGGCGATGAAGGCCATCCATGCATTCGAGATGTTCACCAAGATGCAGTTCAGGTCGACCAGGAGGCTCAGGTGCGTCGAGAGGGACAGCAAACTCAGGACCTTCAACAACACTGCTGTTGTCAAGCTTGCATTGCTGACCAAGCGGGACAACTCCAATTTGCATGGTGCTCATGTCATCGACTGCAGACGCAGAATCCTGTAGGGAATCAGTGCTATTGTTTTGAGAAGGTTCCTCAGCAGTGTTTGTGATCGCATCGCACATCTGCTCAGGATCTTCCGGATGAGAAGGAATGTCAATGCGGACATAGTCTCCATTGTTGAGCTCAATGACGTCAATCTCGTCGGAGAAGAGGTTGCCATTGATCCATACTTGGCATCGCCACGGCTCATGAAAACAATGACCTTCAAAACCAGCAAGACGAATGATTGAGGCTTTGTTGCTCCTGCGAGGAATCAAAGTGGATTTGCGAGAAATGAGTGTTCTCGGTCCACGTCGATCAGCAGCATAATTCACATCTTGCAGGCACAAACGGAGAAAGTCAACAGAAGGCTCTTCATGTCGCTGCAGTAGAAGAAGGCATTCAAGTTCTTCTTGGGCAATGTCATCAGGTCTGTAGTCAACGTGGAGGACACGCATGATGTCTCGTTCCTCAATGGCAAATGCATGAGCGCAGACATGCCAGAGTCGGTCTGCATCATCCCATGGCGCATTGATGTTGACTGTGCGTCCATCAAGACAGAAAACAATGGCTCGTCTCGTTTCGTCCAAGCCAAGTGTACTGGTACGTGAGGAGCTCGAAGATGTCGAAGGTCCTCTGGTACTGCCAGGACGAGGGGCAGAACTTGAAAGCGATCTAGCCATGAATGACGTAGCATCTTCTGGCTGTGCAGGCAAGTCTGTACCATACGCAGGGTGGGCAATTTCAGGTTGCTCCTGATTGTCACCTCCTCCATGCCAATCGTGCAAGGGCCTTTGTGCATGTTGCTGTTGAACGCGAACAGCAAGGTTGTGCTCGTCCTCTTCAATACTCATTGGCGATGGAACTCTGATGGTGATGCCAAGTCCATCCGAGGTTTGGATTGGTTCATCACGCGGAACAAGGCGAAATCCAATGTGAAGAGAACAGACATCGTGTCCAGTTTTTCACGAAGGGCACATAGATCATCCACACCACCAAGTTGAAGGGCTCGCTCAGGAGGCAAGAGAGGCGCTACGGAGTGTGCAGACTCCTGTACTCTGGTATTCGGATCAGAAATGATGACTGCAGAGATGTGGCAGGCAACTTGTTGTTCATGAGGATTCTGATGTACAATCAGCGTACCAAGGCTGCCTCCACCAGTGATAGCAGGAGGTTGCGGTTGGACCAAATGCACTGCCAAGCTAAGGTCAGGGTCAATGTGGTCCTCCCACATAAACCGAATGTCATCTTCCCAATTGTCAAAGTCAAGAGAGAACCGCAGCGGTCGAGCTTGATAATGGTGCCGATGTCGCACATGATCCAAGTAAAATGAAGAAAGAAAAATGACAGGAGCATCTTCTCCATCAATGTCAGGTCTCCCTTCATGAATAAGGATTTCCCAGATACTCCGTTGCCATGGAATCTGTGGCGAGCTCCTGGGGGAAGCTTGGCTGCGTCTCGTCCTTGAAGCAGAAGAACCAGATGAGCTTGCAGATTCCAATGGCTGCTCGCGATCATCTGTTCCAGAATGAGATGTTGGTCTTGTAATTCTGTGTCTCCGAGGCTGCTCAAGCCAATCGTGGAGAGATTCATGTCTGATGCCAAGAGGAGCATCATCAGGTGGACCATACAAACGAGCGGCCGCAAAGTCATTGCTTTCGTTCAAAATGCCACCATCAAAGTGACTACCGCTTTCACTTGTTTTGATCCACCATTTGGAAATGCAATCAAAGTCGACCTCAAAAAGAGGCAACTGCAGTGAAGATTCCAACAAGAGAGCCTTCTCTCTGGCATCCCATACACTGGTGAAGTCAGGTTCCTCAAAAACAGTGTGGACAGGTAGAACTTCAGAAAAGGGAACATCACGAAGTTCAACTCCATCACGACGATCAAAATTGTCATTAACGCACCAGAAATTGCTGTCACTTGAATGCCAAAATGGGAGCTCACCCTCAGTCTCCACAATTGGCCAAAACGTGAGCTTGCAAAATCGGTCTGCTGCTCGCCTCATGGCTCTCCTCACCGCTGTTTCACACGCAGGAGAGGCCTCTTCAACAGACGCACGGAGGCATGAGGCTAGTCGGAGTCCCGAAAGCGTTTGGGCAGAGGTTCGATGATCTCCACTTCGTCGGGCTCCTTTTTGGACCTGGATCTGGAGCGCTCTCGTCCTTTGATTTTGTCTTCGATGGTGTCCTTGACCTGTTTCACAACGCCAGAGAGCTCTTTCTTGATTTGCGAGAAGTCGCTGTCGAGCACTGGAGCGCCTTGCTCTTCCAATTGCTTGGTAGCATTCAAGGCCTCTTGAGCAATCTCCATGTCGGCACCTCCATCGCCATCTTCTGCACCTTGCTCCATCGTGCGCATATGCACCTCGTGCAAGCGATGGCGGGTGTCCTGAAGAGTTTGCATCATGTCTTTGCGCTTCTCCGCAAACTTGGTCTCTCCAGCTTCGAAATCCTCCACATGAGAAAGCCAGAGCTGAGATGCCTTTTCGATGTAGTGCGCCCATTGAATGCGGTAGGCTTCCCACTGCTCGTCCAAATCCGACAGCTTCTTGCGTACTGTCTTGAGTTGATCGATCAGTTGCTTGTGAGATTTGGCATCTGCCTTTCTCAAAGTGGCCTCGGCATTCTTGACCACCTGCATCACATCCTCTGGCAAATCGGATTTGTCCTTGAGTTCTTTGTACATCAGCCGCAACGAAGTGAGTTCGGAGTCCTCCTTCTGCTTGGGCTTTGGAAAGGGCTGCAAAGCTGGCAAAGAACTCAGGGAAGGCATCAGCGACTCTGCATGCGGAAGATGGGTAGATTCTGCAGGCACCGAAGAAGGCATCTGAGGTGGAGCCAACCACTGCGTAGAGGGCGGCAAAGGCGCAAAACATTCTTTGCCTTTGGTTTTGCCCTTTCCTTTGAAATGCTCCTCTTCTTCGGAATAGCTCTGGTACTTCGGTCTTGATTTGGGTCTGTTCTGCCTTTGCCTGGGGCTCTGGGTTCGTTGTCGTGGAGACTTCGAACGGCCATCTCGCCAGCCTTGATCGTCTTGATGCCATGGTGTCTCGGTCCAATCCCCAGCGTAACCAGTCTGCTGCTTCTTGTGTGGTTGATGGACATAGGTAGTGTCTTGACACTGAGTCCAATGTCGATAGCATCCACCGCACTGGGTTGCAACACCCTTCGCCATGCGCATGCAGTACCGGCATCTCCATGGGTCCGGCTTGCGCTCCATTGCCGATTTGATCTTGTCTAAAAAGGCTGGATCCCGCGAGTGGTGCCCACTGAGAATGCGAATGATGACTCGCAGTCGACCAGGCGTAAGACGACAAATGCCTCGACGATGCAAGAACCAGTCCGTCCGTGCCTTTGCACGCAGCCTGCGTAATCTCCTCTTCAATGTAGGAGTTATACTGTGCAATGATGAGGATGAAGAACAAATGACCAAACCAAAAGGGCATTCACAATCAAATAGGCGAAGCAACAAGATCAGTGTGCGGTCCCAACCGCAGAGATCAATTGAAGTTCCAACCAAATCAAATGCAGAGCCCCAAAAAGGTGATACTGTGCCAGCTCAAGGTCACAGCAGAGCACGTTTCGTAGGGTCGCCGCGGCAAGGTGATGCTGTGCCAGCCCAAGGTCACAGCAGAGCACGTTCCGTAGGCCGCACAGCGCAACCCGCGGGCAAGCAAGAGCCCGCTGAGGTTTATGGCAGCTAGACAGGGGACCTTTATACGAGTCCAAAACCCTGCTAGAGCCAGAACCTTGTATATGTATATATATATATATAATGAAGAAGAATTATCCACCATATTAATTATATATTCATCAGGACTATCATATCAAAATCAGCTTGTTTTTCCATGTTTTTCCCTTTTAAAACAACTACCGTCAACAACGGTCTCCAGGTCTCCCTTCCCCACCCGACGGTGCCGTCGATCTGGGCTTGTTGACGCGGCAGTGATGAAAAGCAACGTGAAGACCACTCCGAAAGTCCGCAGGACCTGCGGGCGGTCCTAAACCATGGGTGAAAAGCTGGTAGCTGGTCACGGCACCCTTGCTCTCCCAATAGCTGGATGGGGAAAATCGTGTCTAATGTCAACCCTGGATTAATAAAGCCCGAATGGCTGTTTAATTGGGAGGGTACCATAAAAAAGTCTCAGATTATAACTCTTGGAGGAGTAACCCCTAATTAATAAACTATGGTTGAGATTAATCCGGGGTTGACATGAATAGTGTCTAAAAATGAGAAAAATCATGGTGATTCCTGGGAATTCATGAAAAATCTATGGAGATTTACCCTCTATGAATAGCTGGACAATCACCAATAGCTGGGTAAATCAACTATTTCAATGGCCATTCTTCAATAGCTGGTGAACGTTTACAGTTTGCGAACTGGAAAATGGCCATTGAAATAGTTGATTTACCCAGCTATAAAATCACAATGTTTGCCAGAGGGTATAGATGTCGTTCCAACATATGGAAGACCATACTAAGTAGCTTTTGAATAGGTTCCTTATAACCCAATTCCCAAATTTGGGCAGCTTATAAATGGTGTTCTTATTCGATCTTGATCCATAGCCATTTGGCAATTGCCCATCCCACTCTGCCAGTCTAAGAAGAGACTTATCCCTCAGATTCATCTTGCCCTGATGAATGCCCGATTATGAAAATTGTCCCTGGCTCAAAATGAGAGCAATACCCTGTAGCTAACACCTTAAACAGCTGGGATTTATGGATACTCATTCCCTCCAAGCAAAAGAAATCACATGGTTTATCTCAAGCATCCCGATATGGATTTAGAATGATTTAAATATTCCATGAAAATATGTGCAATCCCAAGTTTATTCGTTTTTTGTCAAGAATTCGATTATTTTTCATTGGATTTCATCCCCATATGAAGAAACCAGCCGCCCAGCCCCTCCGCCTGCAGCTGGTAGGGTCGCACTTCCTGAAGTCCATCTTCATATGGTTGAGCTTGGTCGGGTCCCAGTAGAATGCGCAGGATGCTCTTGAAGGCCTCCGGTGGACCAACAAACATCAGCCAGGGGGTCATGATGACAAGGCCAGCACTCTGTTGGAGCTTCATGTTTACTATGTTGTACTTTGAAAGCGATTGTAAGCCCAACTGTCCCAATTTCTTTGATGACGATTGATGGCGATCTGAACCAGTTGCGTCCGAATCAACCCAAACGTAAGTGCCAGTGCCTTAGGTCGGAAGAAGCCTAGAAGCGCAAAATGAATGATTGCTCATATTTGGAGGCAAACCTTACAGGAAACCCATGAGTGCTTGCTGTCCAAAACTTCTCCAAAATGCAAAAGATGTCCTGCGATTTAATGAACATGACTCACATGACCTATATTCTTAGATATCCTTCTGATATCCTTCTGATATCCTTCTTTTTCTTTGCTGCGAACGGTAAAACCATCGAAAACAAAATGGCGAATCCGAGCATCGGTAGATTCTCTGGACCCGGATGAGTTTCAGAAACGTCAACTCCAACTCCGAGACCTCCGCAACCTCAGCGGCCGGCGGCTCCCAGGGCGGCCGCCGGAAGGCCTTAAAGATATGCCGAGACATGATGAGTAGATGAATCTACATGGATATGTTTAGATCATTTTAGATCTGTCTAGATGAAAATCATATAGATTATTATAGATTAATGAAGTTCATATGAATGAAACACTTTGATTACCAGTACTTTCCAACCCTTACTACGCTCGGCAACCACCGGTGCCGGGCTGAGGTTCCAACCCATGGCCGCAATAAGAAGGGCAAGATGCTCAACAAGTCTGCGATCCTTGGAAGGGGGTACCCCCCCATCACCGCTTTCTGCGGCGGTGCAGTTGCTGGCAGGTTCTGCTGACCAAGCATCATGATGGGGTTCAGCAAATAGTTCAAGCGCAAACCGTGACACCACCAACCTCAAATCATGGCGAAAAGGAGGAGAGGCTGTTCAGCTTCAATGGATTGGTCTGAATATTGGCATCTCATCATTGTTCCCATCAAAATCGCCCAAGACATGGCATTCAAGTAACTCCAAGCCATTTCGGAACCCGGCCCAATAAGCTCAGCACGTGCCAGGTAGTCAATGGTGAAGAGGGCATTGATTGCAGACGTAGACCTTGGCAGTCAGTTCTTTAATGCAACGGCCCGGCCCGGCTCATCCCTCCAGGGTTTTTTTTGGGATGGGACCAACCATTGGACCCACGAAACGTCGATTTTCACGATGGATTTGGGACCCATCTTTTGAGCGATTCCCATAAAAAACCTACAGTGCCTACAGTTGAGCATCCCTTTGGGCAGAAAAAGTGGCTCAAGTCGGGACTTGGAGTATGGAGTTCAGCTAACATGGTGATCAAGTAACAGTAGTGAAGGATGCTATGGGTCAAAATTCTTCAGACCTGCAGTGTTTTCAACGATCTTTGGTCACAAAAACTTTGCTATTTATTCAATTGAAGAATTGAAGAAAGAAGACATGGTTAGGTGGGTAATGGGTTCGTTTTTTGTGGCCCTAGCGGAGACATTTGGTCCTTCCGGTATTAAAACGTCCATGTTCTTTTAACACGCAATGGGGACCCTTTTGGGGCGACTATTTCGACATCAAATGACCCAATGGATACAGAATGGGACATCTATATATACTCCAAAATTCCACTGCCCTATGCATCCTATTACGTTCCCAGTATATCCCAAGTACATCCCCATTTTGTTAACATATTTGTTGATTTCATCCCATACTTATATATAATCATTCTAAATTGCCCTGAAATGGTGGCTATTATCCCATGAGCAATCCCTTCCCCAATCGAAATCCTGGTGTTGCTTGGATTTATTAGTGAATTGGAACCCATGATTATGTTTGGCGGTATGTTGAACATCATCTTGGAGAATGGGATTCTCTCACGATATCACAAGATTACGGTATAGCTATTCATCATTATATAAAGATTATAGCCCCATCTGGGTAAATTATAGACACGAACTTGGCAATTATAACCAATCCCATCTATTTGGCCCCATCTAAAAATCCCAATCCGGTGCAAAAATTACTTAAGAAGAAAACTACTGACCAAAACTTGGATGGGTTTGGTCACTATTACTCCTTATAGATTAGGAAAAAACAACAAGAACAAAAACAACAACACCAACAACACCAACAACACCAACAACACCACCACTACCAACAACAACAACAACAACCAACCAACCAACCAAGCAACCAACCAACCAAACAAACAAACAAACAAACAAACCTGAGAAGGGGGGAACGAAAGCCAGCATCCCATCTACCCCTATTTTCCACCATACTTTTCACCCAGAGACTCTTCAATACATTTCACCCATATACTTTTCACCCAGAGATTTTTCACCCAGAAACTCTTGCACAGACTCTTCACCCATATACTTTTCACAAAGAGACTCTTCACCCAATTTCTTTTCTTGCACATACTTTTCGCCAATATACTTTTCACCCAGAGATTCTTCACCCAGAAACTCTTCTTGCACATACTTTTCACCCATATACTTTTCACCCAGAGACTCTTCACCCAGAAACTCTTCTTGCACATACTTTTCACCCATATACTTTTCACCCAGAGACTCTTCTTGCACATACGTTTCACCCATATACTTTTCACCCAGAGACTCTTCACCGAGAAACTCTTCTTGCACATACATGTCACCCATATACTTTTCACCTAGAGACTCTTCACCCAGAAACTCTTCTTGCACAGACTTTTCACCCAGAGACTCTTCACCCAGAAACTCTTCGTGCACATACTTTTCACCAATATACTGTTCACATCTTTTCACCCAGAGACTCTTCACCCAGAAACTCTTCTTGCACAGACTTTTCACCCAGAGACTCTTCACCCAGAAACTCTTCTTGCTCAAACTTTTCACCCATATACTTTTCACCTAGAGACTCTTCACCCAGAAACTCTTCTTGCACATATAATGGTCCCACATCGGAGCCTCAATTTTACTTTTCACCCATATACTTTTTACCCATATACTTTTCACCCAGAGACTCTTCTCTTCTTGCACATACTTTTCACCCATATACTTTTCACCCAGAGACTCTTCACCCAGAAACTCTTCTTGCACATACTTTTCACCCAGAGACTCTTCACCCAGAAACTCTTCTTGCACATACTTTTCACCCATATACTTTTCACCCAGAGACTCTTCACCTAGAAACTTTTCTTGCACATATTTTTCACCCATATACTTTCACCCAGAGAACTCTTCTTGCACATACTTTTCACCCAGAGACTCTTCACCCAGAAACTCTTCTTGCACATACTTTTCACCCATATACTTTTCACCCAGAGACTCTTCACCCAGAAACTCTTCTTGCACATACTTTTCACCCATATACTTTTCACCCAGAGACTCTTCACCCAGAAACTCTTCTTGCACATACTTTTCACCCATATACTTTTCACCCAGAGACTCTTCACCCAGAAACTCTTCTTGCACATACTTTTCACCCATATACTTTTCACCCAGAGACTCTTCACCCAGAAACTCTTCTTGCACATACTTTTCACCCATATACTTTTCACCCAGAGACTCTTCACCCAGAAACTCTTCTTGCACATACTTTTCACCCAGAGACTCTTCTTCTTGCACATACTTTTGCACCTTTTCACCCATATACTTTTCACCCAGAAACTCTTCTTGCACATACTTTTCACCCAGAGACTCTTCTTGCACATACTTTTCACCCATATACTTTTCACCCAGAGACTCTTCACCCAGAAACTCTTCTTGCACATACTTTTCACCAATATACTTTTCACCCAGAGACTCTTCACCTAGAAACTTTTCTTGCACATATTTTTCACCCATATACTTTCACCCAGAGACTCTTCTTGCACCTACTTTTCACCCATATACTTTTCACCCAGAGACTCTTCACCCAGAAACTCTTCTTGCACATACTTTTCACCAATATACTTTTCACATCTTTTCACCCAGAGACTCTTCACCCAGAAACTCTTCTTGCACAGACTTTTCACCCAGAGACTCTTCACCCAGAAACTCTTCTTGCACAAACTTTTCACCCATATACTTTGCACCTAGAGACTCTTCACCCAGAAACTCTTCTTGCACATATAATGGTCCCACATCGGAGCCTCAATTTTTCCATTGTGTTTCCATCCCATCAATTTCCGTCATTTTACTCTTATTTTACTTGGCATCATTTTGGTCCCACATCAGAGCCGCAATTTTTCCAATATGTTTTCCATTGTTTTTCTCCACTTCTTCATCATAGTCCCTCGATTTTTCCATTGCTTTTCCATCGCTAATGGTCTCACATCGAAGCCACATTTTTTTCATTTTTTTCCATTGCTTTTCCATAGTTTTACTCGACATCATTTTCCCCTCCATTCCAGTCTCCCCAGTGTTTTTTTCACAGTTTTTCCTCCAGTTTTACTCAATCGTCCCATATTTTACGCTATCAATTTATCCTTCCATTTCATCAATTTTTCCAGTGTTTTGCCATGGTGTTACTCGATTTCTCCATCATTACCCTTCTATTATCTCAGTGTGTCTAACGCTTACCCAAATGCACCTTCCACAATCCCTACAGTTGCACCGTATAAACGGTTTTGCTCGTTTCTTCCATGGTTTTTTTTTCTGTGCTTCTACTCCATAGTGGTCACACATCGAAACTGCAATTTTTCCATTGCTTTTCCATTGTTTCACGCGTGCTTTACGCGATAATGGTCCCACATCGGAGCCGCAATTTTACTTGGCATCATTTTACCCTCTCCCTATTCTTTCCACCGTTTCGCCTCGCGTTTTAATCAATTTTCCAAGCGCTCTACTCAAATTTTCCATTGCTTTCCCATTTTTTTTCCATTGTTTTATGTCAAAGTCCCTCCTTTTTTCCATTGTTTTTCTCATCATTTTCCCCTCCTTTCCCATTTTTTTCCCATTGTTTTATGTCATATTCCCTCATTTTTTCTTTTGTTTTTCTCATCATTTTCCCCTCCATTGCAATCTGCCCAGATCCACCTCGGAGGGCGGACCAGCGGGGAATCGATACCCCAACGTCACCCAATTGCCACCTGGTACATAACCCTAAAAAAGTTTACCTGTGGCCACCTTTTTTACCACCTAATTTCCTCATTTTTGTCCCTCTCGGGGCGCTCTGCCCCCAGACCCCCTTAACTCACTTTGTTCGCAAAGAATAACTTCGCCTAGCCTAGCGGCTGGCTTTCGTGACAAACAAACAAACAAACAAACAAAACCAAACAACCAACCAACCAACCAACCAACCAAACAACCAACCAACCAACACCAAACAAAACCAAACAAAAAAACAAACAAAACAACAACAACAACAACAACAACCAACAACCAACAACAACAACCAACAACCAACAACAACAACAACCACAACCACCACCACCACCACCAACAACAACAACAACACCCCTGCTCCCATCTGTTTTTCTTTCCCCTGGGCCAAGGGAAACCCCACGCTTCGAGCACTCGAACGGTGCCTTCCGAAATGCCGGGCCTCGCATGTCGGATGGAACGAAACACCCGGCAAAAAGGGGGAAGATCACACAAAAATGCCGTAGTTGTAGAAGGGATTACATAACCCGCAACCCTGGCACCTCACATAACTTTGGGGAGTTGAATCATTAGTATGTGAGTACGTACTTAGATATGTATACAATATTGTACGTGTATAATATATATATATATATAATATAACTTCCAAGAGTCCTCAGTACTCCACTAAACGATGAGAGGATGGCAGCAGGCTTGCGGTGGGACTTTTGCAGGGAAGGGAAAGACTGCGGCGTCTTGGCACCAGTCAGGTGTACCTACTATTGTCTTGAGCTTTTGCAGATCAGCATAAGTGTATACCATTGGTTTTCTTCCCGAAAATGGGTATACATATAAACCTGCCATTTTGCTCAGAAAAAAATATGATAAACCGATGAACCATCAAAGTTGGGGGGATACCCTGGACCCTAATTTTTGATATGTTTTCATCAACCCAACTGTCTGCCCGTCTGGGCAAAGCGCGAACGGGCAAGCACATAGACCATGAGCGCCAGGCCTTTACGGCTGCATGCCAGTGATTCGCGGGGATTGAGGCGATTTCTCTTACAAATCACCATTATATGAGTGGGAAATCCAGGATTGGATTCAGGACTCTTGAGTTGTTGAAACCCCAAGAAGAACCAATCCCGTCCCCGATCACATAGAATACCCCCAATACATGTGACCCCAATTCATGAATTCATCCAATACATTTCACCAGGATTTCCTTCTAGGGGTATATTAAAAAAACAAAACGAACATCACAAGATGTCCTTTGAGTTAGTTGTTACAATTCATATTTATGAGGCTGGTGGTCATCAAAAAACAATCAATTGAGGCTGCAGCCCACCAGTAGCGCGCTGGATACTTCTGACAGCGGAGCATGCTGAAAGCGATCTATCTCGGCCTGGGGAGTTCACAGTTAGACGTTCCATTGTCATGCGAGAAAACCCGGCGCATGAATTAATATGATCTTAGCAACCCAAAATGTTGTTGGTCTTCATGGTGTGTATGTAACCTTTGTCGCCTTAAAACCCCCCCCACAACGTCCAAAAATCCTCGGCTGCCCACTCCATACGGCAAGGGAGTGAAGCCTTCTTCCTCTGCCAACCTGTCCGCAGCTTTTCGATCAGTGGATTGAGAGAAAGATGTTGGAGGAAATGGTGTCGTCCACCATCTTGGTACACAATGCTAAGGTGTGTGTGTATATATATATATGTGGATATATATATATATATTAATTATAATTATAATATAAATATATCCGCCGACCCCAGCGTGCTGCAGGGGGAGCGCGTTAGAGAAACCACGCATGTAGGCTTGCAGCACACGGCGTTAGTTCTGAAGCCCTCCAGGTGGATGTTTTAGTCCGTTGACATTAGGCGCTCAAAGGGTGAGCCGTGGGTCCGTCCTTCAGGACGGTGAGGCTAGGGCTCTGCGCGGAGGCTTCCAGTTGAATGGTTTAGTCCGTTTTAAAGGCGTTGTAGGCCCTCAAAAGGTGAGCCGTGGGCAGCCTGTCCGTCCTTCAGGAGGGTGGGGCTAGGGCCCTGCGAGGGGGATGTTTGGAGCCTTCCTAGGTGATATGTTTTAGTCGAAAGGCGACGTTAGGCTCTCAGGGGTTGAGCCGTGGGGTGCCCGTCCGTCCTTCAGGAGGGTGAGGCTAGGGCTACAGGGAACTGCGAAGGGAATCTTTTGGAGCCTTCCTACTTAAATGCTTGAGTCGGTTTCAAAGGCGACGTTAGGCCCTCGGGGATGAGCCGTGGGGTACCCGTCCGTCCTTCAGGAGGGTGGGGCTAGCGCCCTGCGAGGGAAATGTTTTTGAAGCCTTCCTAGGTGACCCGACCGTCCTCCATTTGAAGTCTTCCTAGGTGAACCGTCCGTCCTTCAGGAGGGTGAGGCTAGGGCTAGGGCCCTGCGAAGGGAATCTTTTGGAGCCTTCCTAGGTGAATGTTTTAGTCGGTTTCAAAGGTGACGTGAGGCCCTCGGGGATGAGCCGTGGGGTACCCGTCCGTCCTTCAGGAGGGTGGGGCTAGGGCCCTGGGAGGGGAATGTTTTTGAAGCCTTCCTAGGTGACCCGTCCGTCCTTCAGGAGGGTGAAGCTAGGGCTAGAGCCCTGCGAAGGGAATCTTTTGGAGCCTTCCTAGGCGAATGTTTTAGTCGGTTTCAAAGGTGACGTTAGGCCCTCGGGGATGAGCCGTGGGGTACCCGTCCGTCCTTCAGGACAATGGGGCTAGGGCCCTGGGAGGGGAATGTTTTTGAAGCCTTCCTAGGTGACCCGTCCATCCTTCAGGAGGGTGAGGCTAGGGCTAGGGCCCTGCGAAGGGAATCTTTAGGAGCCTTCCTAGGTGAATGTTTTAGTCGGTTTCAATGACGTTAGGCCCCGTCCGTCCTTCAGGAGGGTGGGGCTAGGACCCTGCTAGGGGAACGTTTTTGAAGCCTTCCTAGGTGACTTGTCCCTCCATCAGGAGGGTGAGGCTAGGGCTAGGGCCCTGCGAAGGGAATCTTTTGGAGCCTTCCTAGGTGAATGTTCTAGTCGGTTTTCAAGGCGACGTTAGGCCCTCCGGGATGAGCCGTGGGGTACCCGTCCGTCCTTCAGGAGGGTGGGGCTAGGGCCCTGCGAGGGGAATGTTTTTGAAGCCTTCCTAGGTGACCCGTCCCTCCTTCAGGAGGGTGAGGCTAGGGCTAGCGCCCTGCGAAGGGAATCTTTTGGAGCCTTCCTAGGTGAGTGTTTTAGTCGGTTTCAAAGGTGACGTTAGGCCCTCGGGGATGAGCCGTGGGGTACCCGTCCGTCCTTCAGGAGGGTGGGGCCCTAAATTTATTTCTGATTGCGTGTTTGGTTAGTATTTGTCTCACTCTTCCCTTCACTGAACGCATCTTTTGCCTTGTTTAAAGCATAACTTCTGTATTCATTAGTTTTCTTGACCGTCAGTAGTTTCTTTGTTAAGACACTACATATTGGTTTGTCTTTGTTGTATCTGAATTTCTCATCATCTATTATTAGTGACTTTAATTCTCTTCTTCCTCGTTTTGGTATTTCTGCTAAATCATTACTCAACAAATAGTTTTTAACCTGTTTCATCATATAATTGTATATATTCTATTTAATTAATTTATCTTTAAGTAGTTTTTCAAAGAATTCTACATTTTAATCTTGGAATATATACTGAAAGACTAAGTTATTTATATAAGTTTTTATAGGACGAATTTTATGAACGGTTTGCCTGTTGATGCGTTGCGTAAGATCGTTCCTTATAAAATTGGAGACCCGAAATATTTGACAATAAAGCATAGTGAAGCATTGAAGAGAATACGGAACAAACATAAAATATCAAGATGTGGTCCTAAAATAACAAGACTTTTGAAACCAAGAAAAAAATATGTAATTGAATACTGTATTGTGAGAGAGGGAGTGCCATTTGGTTTAAAAAGTATAGGAAACATCATAACAGAAGAAAAAGAAGAATTACTATCTTTGATTTATGAAGAAGTAGAAGAAGATATATAATTTAAATTTTAGAGTTAAACTTGATATTGAAGTCCAAATAGTAGCAAAACTCCCAGATAAAGAATATGGAGACAATGAATTTAGTTATAGAGAAATTTACTTCATGCATGACTTTGATGAATATGTAGATGAAGATAGTATAGAAGATGTACTGAATAAAGCAGATGAAGAAATAAATACCGACATAGAAGAAGACCAAGATAAAGATAGTATAATAGGAATACAAGCATTTCATTTTGAATTGATAAGTATTGAAGATATTTACTACTAACATATTTCTAATAATATTTATTTACAGTATGGCTTAGGAAACGAACCGTGAACCGGGAACCGAACCGTTCAGGAACCGGCAGGCTAAGAACCGGCACGAACCGAACCGCCAAATATTCTTACGCAAACCGAATGGAACCGAACCGGTTCCACATTCTCAAAATCAATTTTGTCAGCTTCCGGGGGGTCCGAAAATGATTTTCGCGAATTGAAAATCAAATTGGAAAGAGGAATCAACCGTAATGAGTGGATTTCTGCGCAACATAATCTGCCAAAGTGCAGCAGGAATTGCAAATGATCAGTGCTGGCTGCTACTACTGCTACTACTGATACTACTGAAACTACTGCTGCTACTGCTGCTACTGCTACTACTACTTGTACTACTGCTACTACTACCAGTACTACGACTACTACTAGTACTGCTACTACTACTACTACTACTACTACTACTACTACTACACTACTACTACTGCTGCTGCTGCTGCTGCTACTGCTACTGCTACTGCTACTGCTACTGCTACTAGTACTGCTACTACTACTACTCCTACTACTACTCCTACTACTACTACTACTGCTACTACTACTACTACCACTACTACTACTACTACTACTGCTACTACTACTACTACTACTACTCTTACTACTACTACTACTACTACTACTGCTACTGCTACTGCTACTGCTACTGCTACTGCTACTGCTACTGCTACTGCTACTGCTACTGCTACTGCTACTGCTGCTACTACAACTTTTTTTCCCACTTTTTGCCAAAACAACTCCGAAAATGATTTTCGCGCAATGAAAATCAAGTTAAGGAAAACATCTAATAGTATTCGTCCTAGTACGGCTAGACTACCACTGCTGCTACTATTACTATTACTGTTGCTATCACCACCACTACTGTTGTTATTACTACCTCTATTACTAGCCTCTCTGCCCGTTCCTGTTCGGCAAAGCCCGGTCGGGACCCATACCTGCTACTACTACTTGTACTACTGCTAGTACTACTTGTACTACTGCTACTGCTACCAGTACTGCTACGACTACTACTAGTACTGCTACTGCTGCTACTATTACTACTACTACTACTACTGCTACTACTACTACTACTACTACCACTACTACTACTACTACTACTACTTTTTTCCACTTTTTGCCAAGACAACTCCGAAAACGACTTTCGCCGCCCCACCAGTGGTTCCAAACATTCAAAAACAAAATCCCTCTGCTGCAACATAACATTACTATTTGATATGCATCCACACCCATTCTGTCAAAGACCTCTCGTCCTGCAACACTACACAACACGAACCGAACCGAACCGCCATGTCACGCGAACCGAAACGAACCGGCCACTGATGAACCGAACCGCCCCTATTTGAGGTTTCCACGAACCGAAACGAACCTAAACGAACCGAAGCCTTCCTGTATTTATTAGAATTATGGATTTGTAAGATAGGGTTATTAAAGGGTAGGGAATAATGTTTATTGTTGTCTATTGTTTTGTTTTTCTTTTTTATGTTGTTCTTCGCTTGGTTTGTTTTTGTTTTTGGTTGTTATAGGAATTCTTGGAAAAGACATTTAAGAAGATAATCATATTTATATGTAATGGATAAATTTGTAGATACTGTGTTAAAGATTTACCAATTGATAATTTTGAAGATGGATTGAAGACTTGTAAGACATGCTTGGAATACAAGAGAAAGAACTATGACAAACATAAAGATAAAGTGAATGAAACACAAAGAACTAAATATAAAGAAGATGAAGAATATAGAAAAAAGAAACAGGAACAAATACAAAACTATCGTGATAAAATTGCCTTTTGTAATGTATGTAATTCATCAATGAAGGCACAATGTTATTCAAGACATTTAAAAACAGAGAAGCATAAAAGGAATTTAGGAACGGTTGATGGATAGGATTTTGTAAAATGAATAAGGTAATAATGCGTTTGACTGCTATGAATTTGAAAAAATGAATGAGGTAAGTATGCTTTAACTGCTATGATTTTGAAAAATTGACTGAGGTAAGTATGCTTTGACTGCTATGATTTTGAAAAATTGAATGAGGTAAGTATGCTTTAACTGCTATGAATTTTAAAAATTGAATGAGGTAATACCTGAGGTAATTATGTTTTGATATTGTTGAGAAAAATGAAGCAATTAACAATATATGAACTGGCTTTTTGGACTGTTATGTTGTTTTTAATCAATAAATTTTGATTTGTTATACTGCTATGATATTAGTTTAGAAAACTTCACTGAATCAACTTTTTTTACATTTTTTTCCCCGACCCCTACAGGCATCGCCGGTGCGCGAAGCTCTACAATATGATATATGTGTGAGTTTGTTTAATGTACAGTATCTATGCATTTATTCATCAAACGACACTGAGGAAAGCCCAGGTGGTACAACTGCAAAGGTGGAAGAGTTGCTGCCCTGAACTTAACTACACTACACTACATTGCACTACATTACAGACATATGATTCTAATTGCTGTGTCGCAATGTATCTGATATATGGCATTCTATGGATAGATAGATATATATATATGTACAGATATGTACAAATACATGTACAATCATGTATATTTATATGATACTATATCATGCAGCACTGTATTGTTTCCTAATTTGCTTCCTCGAATCAAGCCTGGGTTCACAACATCAACAATTCGTGGGGCCCCAACCACCATCGAATATACCACCATTTCGAGAGGGGTCTCGACCCTGCCTTAGATATTCATCCTTCACAGACCTATCGATCATCGCCTGAAAGCGCAGGGATTGCGGACGTGTTTCATCCAAGCATACCCACCAGTAAACCAACATACCTATGGCAAAATAACCCTTTATAAATTATTTGCCTATTAAAGATAGTTCTTTCCATAGTTGGGGGTTTCCTAAAATGGTGGTACCCCAAATTTGATGGTTTTGAATGGGAAATTCTATTAAAATTGATGATTTGGGGGTGGCCCCATTTTAAGAAACCTCCAGTTATGCTAGTTTACCAGAGGCTAAGCGGCTAATCCAAGCCCATGTATCCCATGTCATCTCGCCTCTGTCTCACCCTTGAATGTGTTGCTCTCCTCAACGACTCGCCGACGTTGCTCTGCAGCTGGCGTGGCCAGCATCACTTTCCGCTCCATCGGCGCTCGTTGCGGCGCAGCGTCCACCTGGAGATGGCTGTTGCTTCCCGGAGGAGTAGTGTAAAAAAGGTAATAAAAACATAGAATTATATACTGGCCATATGAAAGCCACCAACATCGCCATCTTTTCCGCACCTCCTTTTTCACCAGGAAGCCCACACAGGTGTTCTCCAACGCTTGCGTCAGCGATCCATCGCGCCCCAGGGAGGAGGTCTCCATGCAGGAGATGCCCACGCCAGTGTCGGCGAATTCCTTCCGCAGGCCATTGGCCAAGGTCCGGATGAAGGCCATGGACCCAGCGAAGGCACTGGCCCCGGCCACGCCCAAGGAGGCCCCCTGCGGGGCGCCGATGAGAAGGATCCGACCCCGCCCGGCCTTCAACATGTCTTCCCCAAAGAGGCGACACAGGACCGTGGTGGCGCCAACGTTCAGCGCCAGCATCTTGTCCAAGTTATCCACCTTCTGCTCCAAAAAGTTGCCGGTGTAGGAATATTGATCCGAACACACGAAGAGAATGCACACATCCAAGCCTTCCTCCTTGATATGGCTGTGCAGAAGAGCCACTCCCCCAGAGGGATCCGCAAGATTCATCGGTATTTGCAGAATTCGATCTGCAGATACTCCCAGAGTCTCGTAGAAGTCCTCCAACCCCTGTAGAGATGCAGCTTGATCCGTCAGAATCAGGCCATAGCCGGCGTTGGCACAGGCCCGTGCCAGCTTCCACCCTAGCCCTGTGGCAGCTCCAGTGACCAAGGCCCAAGAATTCTCAGCCGCTGGCAGAGGAGAATAGTCCATGTACTCCATCTCCAAATGATGAGCTCGGCAGATGCACGGCTTTTTCCGCGAACGGCACCGGGATCGTTTTGATGACCGGTGATTCCACAGCACCACCAGACAGCCCGCCACAACTTTGGCAGCGGGCTGGGTTTCCGTACCCGCCCGGGCGAGCTTTGCGCTCCAGGATGGGGCGGTGCATGTCCAGGTTGGAGACCTGTGGGGCCTGGCTAGAAGCTGGAAAAAATCTGACCAGCAGTTTTCTTGGTGGACACAGAACATGGGCTATTGATGGCCATTGCTTGTGTGGGATCCAAATGGAAAAGGCATGGAAAATCACCCAAATGGACAGCGCACCCAACAAAATCATGGGCCTCGGCCTCTCAGTTGGAGCATATGCCACCCGCATCTCCATGGTCAAAAGCCATAGAATCGACAGGGATATTTCAGCTCTATGTCCCCTCAATGGGTCATTTGCAGGCATTTGCCAGAATTGGATAAAGGATAAGGTTTAGAGGAAACCCCACATATGTCTGGTGAATGCATGGGTTTCACGTATATAGATCACTCATGATCACTCTAGATGTTGCGTTAAGATTAGCCAGTGATCATTGCATTTTATGATCGGAAGAGAGGAAGGAGGCTTTTCAGTCACTAAGAATCTTCAAATGGTGAAAATGGTTGAAAATGGTATGGGGTTCAGTTTAGTCCATATCCATCAACCTGATGCCTTTTCTGCGAAAGGGTTTCGGAACTTGGCCCGATAGCCACGGAACAGCGAAATGACGGCTCTGAGCAATAAATAGCTCTGGGGGGAACAGGTGACTCTTTCCGGCATTCTCAAGCACTTGACAGCCTCCAAATGCCTCCGGTATGGAGTCAAAATTGACCATTTGATACCCAAACGTCCAAACGTGTCCCTGGCGACAGGTGAGGCGCCCTGCTTTCCCCTGCTTTTTTGTCCAAAAAGGAAGGCAGAATGAGCAGCAGCATCAACCAATGGCGGAGCCCAATCCCACCTGGGCCGTAGCTCCCATCTGCGTTCCCAAGTGAACCATCAGTGGGAAATTTTCTGAATGGTGTCTTATATGAAAGGGACCCAAAAAAAGTGAAAAAGTGCAATGTCATTGAAACGAATTGCTGGGATTCACGTTCGATCTTTTCACTGCACAGACTTAAGATGTCCACGATCGTGCTTCCCACTCCTCATCAAAAAAAAGGTTTTTGTGGGAAAGCACAAAAGCAGCGAAGACAGGAGTCCTTAAACAAGGGACCAAAGCATCATGCAATATTGTCCATCTATTGTCTACTATCTATTTTCTATCATATATTATCATCTATTGGTTGTTGCACGGGGGAATCTGCTATTAATAAACCAACCAGTGGGAAAAGGACAGCTCAATCGGCTCCTCAGCTTCTGATGAGGATCGCAAGACACCCACCACAGCAGGCCTCAGCTTCCATCGAGCACGGCACTTGGGGAAGCTCAGCTACAGTGGGTTTACTGATGGTACTTGGTTATAACATGTTATAACTGGAGGTTTCACCACCAAAAAAAAGTAGAATGAATGGGGATTCTAATGGAATCACAACAAGGGTGAAGCATTGTTGGAGTTACTTTTGTGGCTATAACCACGGTGTCAAAAAAAAACATTGGGTGTTTTGTCACTGCAGGCTGTTCCAACACGGGAACTGGAATACAAGGATACACAACTTATTTATCTGTATGTTTGTTGGGTCGATGTTACCAAACACTCCAGGCTGCTGGCATATGGGGCCCCCTATGGCCCCTATGGCCCCTATGCCATGGACGCCATGGGTCGGCCGAGCCACCTTGATGTCAAGGACTTTCCTGCCGGGATGAAACCTGTCCGGACCGAACGGAGCTCTGATGAAATCCCTCCTGTCGTCGTTGGTTAAACCTCGGAAAAACCCAGGGAAACATATGTATATATATATGATTATATATATATACATATCATGTACATGCTCACGTGCCCATGTTCATTGCTACCCTTCGGAAAATCAACATATCTATCGACCAAAAATAGCCATATGTCTATTGTTTAATAGCTACATCATCGATGGACCATGTATCCACCAATCCCCACCTTGAACCTGCCGATACCTGGGCCCGTATTGCACACCCGCCACCTCAGGACTGGCTGGAAAATCAGAGATGTGGATAGCCTTTGGTATGGAAAAATGGGAAAATCTCCGAAAAGAATAGAGCTTTGAATTCGAAAATCATCTAGAAAATGCTTGGAATTTCCAGCAATCTGCCACATTTGATCGTAAATGACGTGATTTACTAAGTCAGGTGGTTCCGATAGGTTCAACTACCATCGGGTAGACACTTCGAAATGTCAAAAACCGGAGCTTCAGAGATCCAGTTCCGTCACCTAGATGCACATGCATATGGATTGAAAAAAAAATGCCAAAAAACACACACACACTGGTTATGATCATTTAGCAAAAAGACAAACCACCATATGTTGTTGGAATTATGTATATATATATACTATTATATACTATATTACAATATATTACATCCCCATTGAAATGGTTGGGTTTAATCCAAAAAATATCGTTGATGCTTTTTTTTCATGCTTAAACAATTACAAAGCCAACCTTTTTTATGCTTAAACATATCATCCATCCGCACCTCTGGGGTCTGAGGAGCAGGCTCGGACATCGCTGTACAGCTGCTCCCTGGTCACTTCAACCATCCTTGGCGCCGCCAGTGGAAGTAACGGGATTCTGTTAGGATTGACCAATGGGACGCAAAAAAAGGGATCTATCATGATTTTTTTGATGGAGATTTAGTTAAAGATTTTTAGTTCATCCCCAGAAATATATTAAAATTAATATATATATATATACTGTATATATATATATATGATAACGATATTAAGTCGATATTAATCTATATATGATAATATATCGAGATTTAGTTATATAAAGATTGCTCTTGAAGTCCCAGTTGGTCGATGATCTAAAACTATTTCAATGTTGGGACATGTTGACAAGTGTGTTTTCCGTGTCATGTTCACATATCACACTAGATACATACTACCAGAAATTGTTTTGTAGAATGGGGAGCCCCAATATGCAGTAGTGAATTACCCTCTGGTAATTTAACATAGCTATTGAAAATGGCCAGTTATAGTGGATTTTCCCATTAAAAATTGTGATTTTCCATAGTTATGTTAGTTTACCAGAGGGTACATCATTCTCGTCCTTAAAAAAATGGACATGACGACTTTGTGTTGTCTAAAAATCTCCATTGAATCACACCATGTTTGCTGCTTAAATCACAAAATCTCAAGTAGTCCATCATGTTTGATAGTTACATCCATATTACCCTCTGGTAAACTGTCACATAGCGAACTGAAAGATCCACCATTTTATAGCTGGGTAAATCAACGATTTCGACTGGGCCATTTCCAATCGCTACGTAACAAATTACCAGAGGGTACCATCCCAAGTATGCGAGACCCTGTCAAGACTACGTTCCTCCATGGCTTGGAGGATGGTAACCTTTCAGCTGGGCCCGCCAGCGAGAGCGGCGGTCCTTTGATGTCTCCATTCTTCGCATCTGGGTATCAAGTGGGGGCTATATCTGGGGTATTAATGGAGATATCATGGGGACATTAGGACATTCATATGATGGGATATTAAGCAAGTCTATGGGATGTAATGAGACTAATGAGATATCTTGGATGAAAATTAAGATGCCTCACCATGGTTTCGCAAATGATGATAGGTTTTTTTGGTGTTTGCAATGCCAATTGTCCACAAAAAAAAATCCTTCTGCCAGGCTCTGGTCTGGGTCCTAGACCTGTGAAGGACGTCAAAACTGAAGGTACCTGGACAGCAATCCAAGTTGAGTTTCTCAACATGAGGATTTTAGATAAATGGATGTTGATCTCCATCGTATTCTCGGGCGATGGGGAGGTTCCAGCCCATGATTTTCCGGTGGAAACTGGTGATTTTTTTCCTTTGCCTTCGCCTCCTCTAGGGCTGTCTCCCACCAGTCAGCTTTGGACCTTAGCACTGGGATTATTCGGAGATCGTTTCAGATGGGTTGTAGCCCACTTTTCAAGTGATTATATCTGATTATCACCCACTTTTTAAGGGTTATGAGTTATAAACGCTATAACCCAGTCGCTACCCATGCTGCTGGAACACAGATCATCCGACTCTGCTGATTCGACACGCTCAGTTCAGTGCTCAATGGCAGACATGGCCTGCCAGCTGAGCGCTCAATTGTTGCAATCCATCAGCAATGTAGACCATCAATATAATATTATATATATATATATTAATGTATATATATATACATTAATATATATATATACATTAATATATATATACATTAATATATATATATATACATTAATATATATATTAATGTATATAAATATATATATATTAATGCATATATATATTAATGTATATATATATACTAATGTATATATGTGTATATATATATATATTAATGTATATATATATATGTTAATGTATAAATATATATATATATTAATGTGTATATATATATATGTATATATATATATATATAGACTAATGTATATATGTATATATATATATATTAATGTGTATATATATATATTAATGAATATAAATATATATATGTATATATTAATGTATATATATATATTAATGTGTATATATATATATTAATGTATATATATATTTATTAATGTATATATATATATATGTTAATGTATATATATATATTAATGTATATATATATATTAATGTATATATATAGACTACTGTATATATATGTGTATATATATATATATTAATGTATATATATATTAATGTATATATATATATTAATGTATATATATATATTAATGTATATATATATATATTAATGTATATATATATATATTAATGTATATATATATATATTAATGTATATATATATTAATGTATATATATATATTAATGTATATATATATTAATGTATATATATATATATACGTATATGTATTTATTTATTTATTTATGTATTCATTTATGTATTTATTCATTAGAGAGAGAGGGAGAGAGAGAGAGAGAGAGAGACATATAGAAGCCCCGACTGGTGCTCCCCGGTGACGTGGGGTCCCCTCAATAATCTAGGGGGCCCACCCCATTAGGCACTAAATTATCAATAAAGTTCTGGGGGGCCCACCTCAGTAACATCTCAAAATCTCCAGTTCCCAGGAGTGCGGGGGACCCCAGGTAATATTCAAAGGGTCTGGCAAATAAAGTCTTAGGTGGCCCACCTAGCTCAGTCCAACAGAGTGAATAGCTAGGGTCCCACCTCCAATGGCTGACTTGCACTGGTCCAGCACTATTCTGGGCACTACTGTAGGAGCTCCGCCCCCTAGGATTTTATTTCGTGCACTGATCGGGTCTATATAGACTAATCGTGTGTAATGCATCAATTTTCTAATCCACTTCTTTTGAATAGTCGGAAATGTAGACCATCAACTATCATCGACCATCAACCATCGCAGGATCTAAAAGATCTCTGCCCCGATTGGCCTCACGAATGTCTGCAGGCGCCAGAAGTTCATCGACCTTTCTGTAAATTGATGGATTCAGCTGAGTAAATTACCAACTTCATCATTTCTTCAGAAAGAAAAAAACAAAGATTGATTCCCTTCAAACCGATACCCAAGATACATCAAGATACCAGGGGCAAAATGGCCACAACTCAACAAAAGTTGGGTTCCAGGAGGCCAACCCACCAAACCCAACCCACCCAGCATGGGAGTCCCAGCCTGGCACCCGGCATCTTCTATCGCTTGCACTGCGTCCGACAACGGCAGCAGCTGCTGCAGCCGATTCGACTCGGCAACCGCCTGACCTGGGAACGCTGGACGCTGGGGGATAAAAATGGTTAAGGTTGGGTAAATTACTATACCTTGATATGGCAGTGTGTCAAAACCTTGTACCCCTTCTGTTCACATCAAAATAGCTGGGATTTATGGATGTTCATCCCCCTAAAAATGGTATCCGCCGACCCCGGCCTTCGCCAAGGCAGGGGCGGCGCCTGGGAATACCGGAGGTGTGGAGCCTGTTTTTGTTGGCTTGCCACTACCTTGCCTTCCGCCAGGCACTCAGGCCACCGCCCTCTGTTGTTAAGGGCGTTCAAGCCTGCTTCGAGCAGGCACTCAGGCCACTGCCCTCTGTTGTTAAGGGCGTTCAAGCCTGCCGTTTGCCACCTAAAACGCTGCGCAGCAGCTTCGGGCAGGCACTCCCGCCACTGCCCTCTGTTGCTAAGGGCGTTCAAGCCTGCCGTTTGCCAGGCCTCAAATGCCTAAACCGCTGCGCGGCCGCTTCGAGCACGCACTCAGGCCACTGCCCTCTGTTGTTAAGGGCGTTCAAGCCTGCCGTTTGCCAGGCCTCAAATGCCTCAAACGCGCGCGGCAGCTTCGAGCAGGCACTCAGGCCACTGCCCTCTGTTGTTAAGGGCGTTCAAGCCTGCCGTTTGCCAGGCCTCAAATGCCTCAAACGCTGCGCGGCAGCTTCGAGCAGGCACTCAGGCCACTGCCCTCTGTTGTTAAGGGCGTTCAAGCCTGCCGTTTGCCACCTAAAACGCTGCGCAGCAGCTTCGGGCAGGCACTCCCGCCACTGCCCTCTGTTGCTAAGGGCGTTCAAGCCTGCCGTTTGCCAGGCCTCAAATGCCTAAAACGCTGCGCGGCCGCTTCGAGCAGGCACTCAGGCCACTGCCCTCTGTTGTTAAGGGCGTTCAAGCCTGCCGTTTGCCAGGCCTCAAATGCCTCAAACGCGCGCGGCAGCTTCGAGCAGGCACTCAGGCCACTGCCCTCTGTTGTTAAGGGCGTTCAAGCCTGCCGTTCGCCAGGCTTCAAATGCCTAAAACGCTGCGTGGCAGCTTCGAGCAGGCACTCAGGCCACTGCCCTCTGTTGTTAAGGGCGTTCAAGCCTGCCGTTTGCCAGGCCTCAAATGCCTCAAACGCTGCGCGAGCAGCACTCAGGCCACTGCCCTCTGTTGTTATGCCAAAACGCTGCGCGGCACTGCCCTTGTTGTTAAGCAGGCACCTCAGGCTCAGGCCACTGCCCTCTCTTGTTAAGGGCGTTCAAGCCTGCCGTTTGCCAGGCCTCAAATGCCTCAAACGCTGCGCGGCAGCTTCGAGCAGGCACTCAGGCCACTGCCCTCTGTTGTTAAGGGCGTTCAAGCCTGCCGTTTGCCAGGCCTCAAATGCCTCAAACGCTGCGCGGCAGCTTCGAGCAGGCACTCAGGCCACTGCCCTCTGTTGTTAAGGGCGTTCAAGCCTGCCGTTTGCCAGGCCTCAAATGCCTCAAACGCTGCGCGGCAGCAGCAGGCACTCAGGCCACGAGCTTCGAGCAGGCACTCAGGCCACTGCCCTCTGTTGTTAAGGGCGTTCAAGCCTGCCGTTTGCCAGGCCTCAAATGCCTAAAACGCTGCGCGGCAGCTTCGAGCAGGCACTCAGGCCACTGCCCTCTGTTGTTAAGGGCGTTCAAGCCTGCCGTTTGCCAGGCCTGCCTAAACGCTGCGCGGCAGCTTCGAGCAGGCACTCCGGCCACTGCCCTGTGTTGTTAAGGGCGTTCAAGCATGCCGTTTGCCAGGCCTCAAATGCCTCAAACGCTGCGCGGCAGCTTCGAGCAGGCACTCAGGCCACTGCCCTCTGTTGTTAAGCGCGTTCAAGCCTGCGACATGGCTCAACGCCCGGCTGTGGCCCCAAATTCTGCGGAGCTTTGTGCTACATGATTCCATCGATTGGTTTAGGTGTGAAAATCTCAGCCGGAAACCATATAAGCATATTATAACATCATATGTATGTATGTGTATATATATATGTATATATATATAATTATATATATATATCCGCACCCTTGAAAGGGGGTCGGCGGCACCAGGGCGTCAGCCCATTCTATTAATAGGTATTGATCCATACCCATATGTATAAAGAAATATATACAGAATTATAGAGATTATCATCAGTCATTTTATAATGGATTTTCCCATTAAACATGGTAATTTCCGATACCTGAAATTACCTGAAGCTGCCGGACCTGATCCGACCTGATCCCACCTGTCGGCAATCTGAGTCCCAACTGAGCTGTGCTGAAATGCTGCTTCGCAAATTCGAGCCTTGGCAGAGAAAGAATCACCCGCTTTTTACATGTTTTATGGGGGTTCGGGGGTCCCCTATTCGCAGACAACCCCATGAAAGCCCATATGACCCCCGTTTTGAATGCTTAAATCACGTTAAATCCCAGCTTTTGCTGCTTGAACTGACTCTTTTTGCTGGTTAAAAGCGCTAAAAATCTACACCATGCACCAAGAGGCTAGGAGGCTGCAGCCCGATCTTCAGGTGCAGCTCCGTCAAGAAGTGCAAGGCAGCCACCTCTTTGCAGCTTCTTATTTGAGGGGAAACAACCTGATTTTCAGCAATTATCCATGATGATTTACTATGATCTTTCACGATTTCCACGAGTTTCCCTTGAACTTCTCCATTGAAGATGGGTATGGTTCAAAATTAGGGTACCAATGGACCGACCAAATTGCTCCTGGGGTGTAGTGGCTTCACCACAAAGCCCAAGGAGAATCTTTCCGACCAACAGGAGACCAGTTTGGCACTTTGGTTTACTGCAATTTATTTTGTGCTGAAGAAACTGGCGCCATTCTCGCCAAGTAAAAAAAAAGGTGTCCCCCTCTACAGAACTGTTCGTGTACAGTAAATGCGCCTCCGAGATGAAATCTTGGCGAGCACGCGCGAGAGATAGCGCCTGCTGAAGATATGCCGTCGCCTTGTCCCAATTCTCTAACTCCAGATCAGTTTCATCCTGATCCAATCCCTTCCCCATTGACTTCCAATACTTCGCAGCCATGAATGCCACCTCCATCCGTGCTCCCTCCGCTTCCCTGCCAAACGTCCGCAGCCGTGCCAGGGCTTCCTCCACCCTTGGGAGCTGGGCGGCCCCCAGGGCAGTGATGGCAGCCACCTGCAGCGCCTGACAGCGGGAGCCCCGCAAGCTGCGCAGCTCCTGTCGCGCCAAGGCTGTGGCATCTTGGCCCTGCAGCGCCGCCTGGGAGAGCCGCAGCAGGGCCGCGCCGCGCAGGGAGATCTGCAACGAAGAGCGGCAAGGCCAGCTGACTGAGAGGTGCCAGGCGCGCTCAGCGGATGCAGCAGCTTGCTGCAAAGCGCTGCCGCGCTGGAGAAGCTGCACATGCTTCAGCTTCATTGAGATTTGGGTAGAGCTAAGGGTTGGCTCAGCACGAGCCAGAGCCACACTTGCAATGAGAATCTCACCACATGCTTCCAGCTCGGATTGCCCATGCTTCTGTCCCAACTGCACAAGTTTCCGCGCAGCCTCCGTGGAGCCTTCAAAATCACCACTCAGTCGATAGCTGACGGAAGTGAGACAATGAGCCTGTGCCAGGCACTCCAAATTGCCAGGCTCTGGGCCAGATGGCCCAAGCACGAGAGCATCTGCCAACATTCCTTGGTGATTTGTTGATTTCTTGCAATACGTTTAACTTTTCGCAGGGGATTGGCGATGGATACCCAGGTTGTCGATCAACAAAAACAGAGTCCAAGCTGAAAACTTGTTTTGGCCATCAATACCATCCAGATTCTGCTTTCTTTGGCAAAATGTAGGGCTTCTGAGAGTTGTCTCCTCATCACTGCGGCCAGGGCCTTCAGTTGCAACAGCTGGATTCTCACTTTGGATCCTGGAAAACACCAAGGCTGAGAGGATTCAACTAGCCCTTCCAAAGGTGAACCCTTGCAAGGATGGTTCTTCAGACCTTTTCTAGTGGTTGGTAGCTAACAAGCCCTCAACAAACTCCCAGTGAGGATGCCAAACTTTCGTGGGTCCTTCCGCTTGCATCACGTCGTGAGCCTGACAAGAACTGGAATTCTCCAAAAAATCCAGCAGAAAATGATGCTGTCGATTCCGATCATACCGAGCTCTTCAGCATCTTCAACATTCGGAATTGATTTCCATGAGATTTCCAGCAAACCCAAACATCTTTCAGGGCAGCCCGGGCAGCCCACGGTTTAACCCGAATTTCCGCGCCTCGCCCAATGCCGCCTGAAAGGTCTCTCCCGGGCCAAACGCCAGGAGCTTCGCCTCCAAGGGACCATGCCAACTGTCCAACTGATGTCCCAGTGGTCTAGAACCCATATAAAACATTATAAAACCATATATAAATGAGATATTCATAGATGTTCCATATGGTTTTTGAATGTTTTTGAATGTTTTTGACCCATTTAGTGGGATGCACCCGTTCTTCCAACCCGGTATCCGATATTCGCGGCCTCTGCCAGGACCAAGCATTTCTTTGCCTGCCAAGACCGACAAAATCTTTAGCCAAAACTCAATCGTATGAAAAATCGCCTGGTGATTGACCTCTTCAAAATCAGAAACGTCCTTGTTTTTTCCCCATATAAACTGCAGCCCTGCTTCCGCGTGTTGCTGTGCTTTGGAGCCTTCTCTTCTGCGGTCTCATTTGGCACAGGATATGCCTTCCGGGATGACGGCGACTCAGAACTCAGAACTGGGCAGCTCATGAGCAACTCGCAACTTGTAAATGAGATATCCACCAGCCACGCAATATGCGAACCATGGGAGTTTGTTGATTGGTTTGACCTCCATACAAAGTGGTTTCGGCTCATTCAACTTCTTGTGTTCCAAGGTCCAAACCCTGGCTCTCAGTGCATCTTTGGGTGAGATCTGCTCCTATACCACTGGCAGTGGGAAGCCACTGTAACGGCCAGCGCTGCAAAAGAACAGCCGGAAGCAAAACTCCCCCAGTCCTTCAGCAAGTAGAGGTCGGCAACGGCCGATCTCACCTGGCGGAACGTGGAACATCAATCAGGTTTTGTATCAGAAGACTAGAAGGAGTGATGACTGGCCAGGGTCGTGTGGGGCTGTCTTCAAACACCACAAAATTGGGTGTCTGAAAATTAGGGGTACCCTTTCACACGCGGGGAACACTTTTTTCTCAGCCATCAGCAACCATGAGCTGGAAGGGAGTACCCGAGTAGCCTCTGTTGAGACAAACCCAAATCGTCATCAGCTCACTCACTGCCTTGGGTTTAAAGGGGAAAATTAAATGAACCCTAGATTTCATGGGGAGAAAAAGATATTTACCAGAAGCCACAACAAGACTAATTCTGCGAATGTGGAAGACTAAAAAAATCTGATTCTTCCATATTCTTCCTGCAGATTTTTAACCCACCCACCGTCAACTCAACTCCCTTCGGTCCTGCTCTGGGGCGCATCTCATAGGGCCATGGCTCGGATCTCTGATGTCCCCACAGATGTGTTCAAGTGGAATATGATGTTGAATAAAATCACCCACTGACCTACTAACCGTTACTAACCTACAAAAAAAAACGAGGTTTTACAGTTTTACGCAGAAAAAAAACCAGGGCCACTCTTTCCAAAGCACTCCCCAAGAGTTTCATCTTTGTCGTGATTTTTTCAGCGGCACTCCGGCTGAACCGCTCCAAGATCAGATCAACAGGCGACAGAGCTGCAGGAGAGGCAGAGTTGACCCTCTTTTTCTGCGAAACTCTGGGAGGGCACTTTGGACCCCCAAACATATTGCATTGCTAAGTGGTTGGTGGTTTCAACCATGTTTCCACAAGGTCGTCAGTTGGGATCCTCATCCTATGAACATCAAAAATGAAACCAGGTGAAAGCACCAACCATTTCTAACCAATCTTCAACTTCATCTCCAGATTTGCATATTCTTCACATTTCTTCACATCTTTAAAGTAGCCACTTGGGCAAAAAGTGGTCCAGCAATCCGCTGTACATGAAGGTTGCGCCGATGGTCAGCACCGTTCCCGCCGCGAACGTGAGATCCAACGTGATATCCTGCAGCACCAAGGCCGACAGTGCCGTGGTCAAGATCACCGAGATGGCGGTACCTGATGACCATGGGGACCACCACTGGAACCACCGGAACCACCGGCCGGGTGATGGTTCTGAACCAAAAAAACAAATCAACTTGAGACATAAATGTTATAGTAAGACGTAATAAGACTGTGGAATATGATGAAGATACATATATCTATATATAATTATATGAATATGAATATGAGCATGGATTAAGAATTTTGATCATTGTTGCTACTAAAGATCCCATCAATGAATACCCAATTGCCCGTGTCGTATGGTAACAACTCTGCGGACTTAGCGTCTGAATTGCCGCAAGATGTTGTCAGCATACTTCAAGACCGCAGCCACCAACAGACCACCAGAGGCCACAGTGAATGCCATGAGCCATACCCAGGGAGTATATCCACGCGTGAGGTTCACCTCACCCTCTTGTAAAACGACCCATGTCGCAGTGGAGGCGCCAAAAATGGCAAGCTGAGCATTTCGAAGCCAAATTGAGGTTGAAGAACCTTTCAGAACCATTTCCATGTAGACCTGAAATTTGCACAAAACGCTGCCGTAGAGATAGTTTCTTTTCTTGGATGTCCAACAAAAAGAAAAACCTACAAAAACTTACTCCCAAATACCACCACATCATGCTCCTTTGAGAGCCATCACAAAAGAGAGTCATAGCCACGGACCCAGAGATTGTGGTCCAAACTCGTCTAGACAAATGCTGTGCACCAAGGGACACCGCCAAAGCCGCTGGCAAAACAGGCACCCAGTGCTGCCAGAAAGCCAACCAATGCTCGGCCCATCTGAGGAGATCCTTCCTCGATTGACGGCCAAGTTAGCCAAGGCAAGTTGACATGTCGGTTGATATTTTTTCTATGTGTATATAATGTATATAACCATGTATGTATGTATACATATACATATATATATATGTACATATCACTTAGCCATGGTCATGAGAAGATTCACCCAAAATGTGAAAATGTGAGGATGTTACTTGCAAAAATGAGCATATGATCATATACCTGCAGAAATGATAGTTAAAGCGTGAGGTTCTAGTGCTAGGTCGCTAGGTTTCATTCAAGCGCAGGTGAATTCATGATAGCAATCCCAACCTGGAGCAAGCCAGTTTTGATGCCCCAGATTAGCATTCGGGTAGATGAAAATGGCCCCTGATTCCACCAACAGATTGTCATCCCAAATCCCAAGAGGAGCCAGTTGCCAGGCCGGGTCTCCAGGCCGTCAGAGTTCGGCAGTTGCACCA